AGGAAGAAGGGGAAGGGGGATGGAAGAGGAAGCGCTCTAGACCACCGACGCCCAGAGGGCTGGTGGGATTCAAGTCCAACTCCTCGAACTCCTCCTCCTCCTCCTCCTCGTCCTCCTCCTCGTCCTCCTCCTCCTCCTTCTCCTCCTGTTCCTCCTCCTGTTCTTCTTCTTCCTCCTCCTCCTCCTCCTCCTCCTACTCCTCCTCGCCCTCGCCATCGCCATCGCCATCACCGTCGCCATCACCATCGCCATCGCCATCACCATCACCATCACCATCACCATCACCATCACCATTACCATCACGATCGCCATTATCATCATCATCATCATCACCATCATCATCATCAACGTCATCATCATCAACAGCATCAACATCAACATCAGTAGCATCATCATCATCACCATGATCACCAGCATCATCACCATGATCACCAGCATCGTCATCGTCATCGTCATTGTCATCTTCATTATCATCGTCAGCATCATCATCGTCACCGTCATCGTCATCGTCATCATCGTCATCCTCACCACCATCACCAGCAGCATCACTAGCATCAACATCATCAGCATTATCATCGTCATGATGATCACCATCATCATCAGCATCATCAACATCAACATCGTCAGCATCGTCAGCATCGTCAGCATGGTCATGAACATAATAGTATGCGTCATCATCAGCATCAGTATCATCAGCATCATCATCATCAGCAGCAGCAGTCGCATCATCGACACCATCTTCATCAGCATCATCATCATCAGCAGCATCATCTTCACCATTATCATCATCAGCAGCATCATCATCGACATCAGCATACTCAACATTTTCATTACCACCATCATCAGCATCGTCATCATCAGCATCATTATCAACGTCATCCTGATCGCCATCAACATCATCATCATCATCGCAATAATCATCATCAGCAGCATCATCGTCATCATCAACCTCAACAACATCATCTTCACTATCAACATAGTCATCCTCAACATCATCCGCCTCATCATCAACAACAGCATCATCATCATCGACAGCATCGTCACCATCATCATCAATAAAATCATCATCATCATAAGCATCATCATCATCATCAGTATCATCACTACCAATTTTATCATCACCACCACCACCGCTATCATCACCAGCAGCATCATCAGCATCATCATCATCATCATCCTCATCGTCATCATCATCATCATTAGCATCATCATCGTCATCATCATCATTATCATGACCGTCTCAATCATCAGTATCATCACCATCACCATCACCATCATCATCATCATCATCATCGTCGTCATCATCATCATCATCATCATCATTATCATCTCCTCCTCATCCTCATCATCCTCATCCTCATCCTTTCACGTTTGACCGACCTTAGGTTATCTTGTGGCCTTAGTCCTCCTCCCCCTCCTCCTCCTCCTCCTCCTCCTCTTCATACTTGTCCTCGTCTTTCTCGTCCTCCTCCTTCTCCTGCTCCTTTTTCTTCTCCTTCTCCTCCTCCTCCTCCTCCCCCTCCTCGTCCACCTCCTTCTCCTCCTCCTCCTCCTCGTATTCCTCCTCCTCCCCTTCCTCCTCCTTCTCCTCCTCCTCCCCCTCCTCGTCCTCGTCCTCGTCCTCCTCCTCCTCCTCGTATTCCTCCTCCTCCCCTTCCTCCTCCTCCTCCTCATCCTCCTCCTCATCCTCCTCATCCTCCTCGTACTCCGGCTCCTCCTCCACCTCCTCCTTCTCCGCCCAAGCCTCTTCCCCTTTTTATTCAGTGTGTTGTTTCCCCTACTACGAGCGATAGTGCTCCTGCTGTTGATGGCGGCTCTGTCCTATACACGTCTCTCCGAAGTGAATCTTCAACACCGCGCTCACCTCCCGTCACCATCCTGGAACCATCCGGGGGTTCCAAGGGACATTTGAACCCATGTGGGACGCACGAGGGCGTGCAAAACGGCGCAGGAAAGCACGAGGTGGTCAACAAAAAATGCCTTACTCCCCCGCGTCGCGTCATCCTCCCCATCACCATCACCAACACCAGCATCAGCATCGCCATCACCATCACCAGCATGAGCATCAGCAGCATCAGCACCATCACTATTGACACTACCATCGTACCTATCAACTTCATGACATCATCATAATGTACAACGAACCCATCATCAGCATCGCGACAACCACCACACTCATCATCCTCATCATCACCCCCATCATCATCGTGATCATCGTCTCTTTCTGCATCAGCATCCAGATCAGCATCAGCATCACCATTATCATCATCATCAACAGCATCACCAGCATCATAAATCAGCATCGTCAGCAGAAGCAGCATCAGCATCAGCATCAGCATCAGCATCAGCATCAGCATCAGCATCAGCATCAGCATCAGCATCAGCATCATCATCATAACAGTGGCCATTACAATCATTATCATCAGCAGCATCCGCATCATCATCGTCACCGGCATCAACATCAGCAGCAGCATGATCATCAGCAACACCATCAGCCTTATCATCGTCACGATCATCAACATCGGCATCATCATCAGCATCATCCGCATCATCATCATCTTCAGCAACATCATCATCATCATAATCATCGTCATCATATGCACCTTCACCATCATCATCGTCGTCATCAGCATCATCACCAGCAGCATCATCACCAGCAGCACCTTCATAATCGGCAACATCATCAGCATCACCACCATCACCATCAGCATCATCATCACCACCATGACTATCAGCATCATCATTTAAGAGCCTGTTCGCAGAGGGTGACGGGCGCAGGATGCCTTTCACAGTTCAGAATCTCGCGCGGCCCAAAAATGATCAGCGAGGGAAAACAAACCGACAAGCAACATTGCAAAATTGGGCAACATGTGGTATTCAGCATCGCGCGCCACATTCAGAATACCATTGGAAATCCGCCGACCCCTAGAGCGCGTGAGACGTCGATCTTCACAACCTGACAAGACGAGAACGGGAAGCGCCGCTTTGTCCACAAGGCTTGTCAGATAACGTCTGGTTGAGCATGCCGAAGAACTCCGCGCTGGCGCGCCGTGCTGGTCTGCCGTGTCGGTCTGCCGCGCCGGCATTGCCTCCGCCCCATCCTTCTCCTCCTCCCCTCATTCCTCCTCCTCCTCCTCCTTCTCCTCCTCCCTCCCTTCTTCGACGCCATCTGCCTCTTTTCCTCCCCCCACTCCTCCTGCTGCTGCTCCTCCCCCGCCTCTTCTTCTCCCCCCACTCTTTTCCTCCCGTTGCTGCTGCTGCTGCCGCACCAGCCCCACCCCCCGCAAACGATTAGCCGGGGACCGCGCGCGGAGGGGGGGGGGCGAGCGCCTTCCCCACAGAGAGCTCGCCAGAACTCGCGTCGCGCGCGGAGAGCGGGCTTAGTGGTTGCTTTTCCGAGCTTAGTGGTTGCCTGTGGTTCCTGTGGTTACTCTGGTGCGAGCGTGCGTGTATGTGCGCGGGCCTGTGTATGTGCCTGTGTGAGCGGTTGCGTGCGCGCGCGCGTGTGCGTGGGGTTGTGTTATGGGGGCGACGGGCGGGGGGGGGGCGCACGGCGCGCGCGAGGGATGTGTTACGGGGGCGACGGGCGGGGGGGACGCGCGAAGCGCGCACAGGATGCGTCATGGGGGCGACGGGCGGGGGGGCGCACGGCGCGCGTGCGGGATGTGTTCTGGGGGCGACGGGCGGGCGGGATGCACGGCGCGCGCGCGCAACGAAGGCGGAAGAGAATGACGAGGAGGCGGAGGAGGAGGAGAGGAGGAGGAGGAGGAGGAGGAGGAGGAGGAGGAGGAGGAGGAGGAGGAGAGGAGGAGGAGGAGGAGGAGAGGGGGAGGAGGAGGAGGAGAAGGAGAAAGAGGAGGAGGAGGAGGAGGAGGAGGAGGAGGAGGAGAGGAAAAGGAGGAGGATGACGAAGGAGACGGAAGAGACGGAGGAGAGACGAAGGAGACCTCAGAGACGGAGGAGACGGAGACCTCAGAGATGGAAGAAACTCAGAGACGGAGACGGAAAATACGGAAGAGACAAGACCTCGAGCTACGATGCTGCGAGTGCCGTTGTCCGAGGATGTCTCGAACGATAGCCTCAATTTTATCGAAAGACGTCTTAACCACACGGACTTAACATCTCAATGTTTTGAGGATGTCTCAGACGAAACGGCAATTTCCAACGACTCGCTGAATTTCGCGAGCGACCTCTGTACCTTATTTTCCGAGGATGTCTCCAGCGAGAGCTTCATTTTGAATGCAAGACGTCTTAAATACACGGCTTCAACATCTCACTTTTGCCGAGGATGTCTCTTGCGGAACGGCCATTTCGAGGGGAACCTGACCGGACAAGAACGGGAAGCGCCGCTTTGTCCACAAGGCTTGTCAGATAACGTCTGGTTGAGCACGCCAAAGAATTCCGCGCTGGCGTGCCGCGCTGGTCTGCCGCGCTGGTCTGCCGCGCCGGCCCCGCCTCCTCCCCATTCCTCCCCTACTCCTCTCCCTCCTCCTCCTCCTCCTCCTTCCCTTCTTCGACGCCATCTGCCTCTTTTCCTCCCCCCACTCCTCCTGCTGCTGCTGCCGTTGCTGCTGCTGCCGCGCGAGCCCCCCCCCCACACAGACGAGTAGCCAGGGATCGCGCGGAGGGGGGGGGCCAAGCGCCCCCCCACTGAGAGCTCACCAGAACTCGCGTCGCGCGCGGAAAGCGGGATTAGTGGTTGCTTCTCCGAGCTTAGTGGTTGCCTGCGGTTGCTGTGGTTCCTCTGATGCGAGCGTGCGAGCATGCACGCGCGCCTGCTCAGGCGCCTGCGTGAGCGGTTGCGCGCGCACAGGGTTATGGGAGCGACGGGAGAGAGGGATGTACGGCGTGCGTGCAGTGTGTCGTGGGGGCGACGGGCGGCGGGGACGCACGGCGCGCGTGCGGCATGTGTCATGTGCCTTCTTGATCTCCTGCTATCTTTTCTCCTCGTCCGTAATATTTTTTTCCTCTTCCTCTTACGTGCGTTTCTTCTTGTCGCGAGCCGCTAGTCTCTAGCAGTTTTGACGCACCCGAGTCCAGCAGGTCCAAGTGTGTCTTTGCTGCTGTTGGTTACCATGGAACGGGGCGGGCGCGTTTTGGCGGTCTCTTGGCCGGTGTGCGCGGCCGTCTTCTGGATTTTGCAAGGTCAGGACTCGGACAAGGACCTGACTCTCGGAGGCCATGTCTCTGCAGCGAGGGAGGCATACATAGAGGAGAAGACGCAGATCGACCGAGGTGTGATGCAGAGGGTCCAACATCTGGAGGTTCCGCCCGCAGCCGTTCAGTTCGCCCCGAAGGTCGCCTTTCTCTTCCTGACAAAGCAGAAGCTTCACAATTTGAACATCTGGAAGTCGTTCTTCAGGGACGCACCCAGGGACCGGTACTCTATCTATGTACATGAATCTCGAAACGATGTACGATCAACAAAACAATCAGTGTACCAGCCACTGGCTGAATATGGAGCCCAGACGCTTCCTTTCATCAATGGTACCTGGTGTGCGCTTGCTGGCTTGGAGGCGGGCGCTCTACAAATGATGTTACAGGACCCCAACAATGCCCAATTCGCATTGTTGTCTGACTCATGCATTCCCCTGAAGTCCTTCGCTTACGTCTACCACGACCTGGTGGAGCTGTCGCCCAAGACTAGCAAGGTTTGCCTCGCCGAGACGGCTCAGTACAGAAAGATTGGCGAGCAAATGAAGTTTGATGGAAGTACTGGGTGCGTCTTCAGGGACTTCTACTCAAGATATGAGCCGCTGGTTCGACATCATCACCAGTGGGCCGTCCTGTCCAGAGAACATGCAGCAACATTTGTGCGGCGTGGGTTGGAAAGCCATCACAGGTACTACAATGCATGGCGGCAGGCAGTTCCAGACTGGGCTCAAGCAGGCTATGGCTGCAGCTGTGAAGCCACTCCTCTGGCTTCGCTGCTGGTCGATATGCATGCAAAAGGCCAGAGCAGTGGTGACTACTTTGAGGACCTCAAGCTTGCTGGAGTAGAACAGAAGTGCTTGACTTTTGTCCATTGGCATGGCTGCTTTGTCGGCCACAAGCTGAATAGGGATAACGAGTGGAAGTTTATTGCGCGCATTTTGCAGTCTTCACCGGTCTATATAATGCAGTACCTCGCAGGGCACGACATGGACATAGTGAACAATCCACTGCACAGGCCCATGAACTCGTTTCCGTACGAATTCAGAACGGCGATTGAAATGGACTACCTCAATGATTTGGCCGACCACAGTTTCATGTTCGCCAGGAAATTCCACCCAGGGGTGCAGGTCCTGCTGGCGGACGGCTCGAGAGAACCCCTTGATGATGTTCTGCCTCGTGTGTGGCGTCGTGTGGACGAGGCGGGCAGCTCAGGAACAGTTTGGACCAGGCTCAGAAATCCAGAGCTCCCTCCTCCGTACTCCCTGGTGGGCCGTGTTGTGATTGCTTGGTTCGGTTCGATGATCGCGTCGCTTGTCAGCGTACTCTTATGTGATCATGCTTGCGCCAGGGTTCTACCGTTCACCCTTCTGATGCTGACTTCTGTGGTCATGTTCTATGGCCTGATCTTTAAGTCATCCGACATCAACTGAGCATCTACCGCACGTTTTCATGAGGGACGGGGAGAAGAGATGGAGGGGGATGGGTGGGGGGCCGAGTTGGTGGTAGGAGTATGTACAATGGAAGGTCGGTAGAGGTAGCTCCCCGGCATGCCCGATGGTCGTTCGGGGCTTGCAAGCATGTGTCATGAAGTTTGTCACAGAAGTATTCTGTCTGTAATTCGGTTAGCCACCTTCACGCTGCAACGACGCTGGTTGTAGCCTAGAGCGCAGAAAAGCCAGAGAGCATGCGGCCACATTGACCTCCCCGTGGCTCGGTCACACGTGGGGCTGAGCGGCTCGCAGGGCCTCCCTCCAGTGAGGGGGAAGCGGGGCACCTGTGGTCACGCCCTCAATCATTCTCGTGCTCGAGTGTCCAGTGCGAAGACGCTGGACGTGCTCCAGTGCGTGCAGGTATTCGGTAGTAGAGAGAAATAACGGTGTTGAGGTGGGAAGGATGGCCATGAACATGCTGCATGCTGACACGGACGTTCTCAAACGAAAACATGGTCGGATGTTCCATCGTGGCTGTGGGTGTTTGCGAGAATTTTTGGGGATCAATTCAGAGTTGAGGCTGAACGCCAATAATTTCCAGACGTGACAGGATCGCTGCATTATGAATCTCTGAATCGGTTCATGATTCATGCATTCGGCAGCGCTTGTAGCCTTGCGAGGATAATATATTAAGGTTATCGAAATTCTGGACGCTTCGCTGGCAAGCTACCCCCCTTCCTTTCCGCGACCATGAGCACTCAGTCCATGTTACTGAAGGCGCAGGTGCCACACTATTCTCGGCACATCGGGGGCCCACCTCCGATCCTGAACGCAGCGGGGGCGTCGCTGAGCACAGCTGCCCCGTGCCAGCGCAGCAATGAGTCTCAGGCGGATTCCATCCCAATCATTCTGCGGCTGTTAGCTTCGCCCTACCAGAGGCCCGGCAGACTGCATGCGGAGTGACCCGCCTCCGTCCTGCGGCTGACGTTTAGATTCGAACCGAGCAACGTGGTCCCCAATGCCAGCGCTGCAAACGTCTCAGGCAGACCCTACTCAATCTTTCTTCGGCTGTTAGCTGTACCCTACCAGAGCAATGCTATACCAATCTTACTGCGGCTGTCAGCTGCGCCCTACCAGAGAACCGGCCCTGCCCTGTCTCAGGCGAAGCTTTTGTTCCCCTTGCCTGCGGCTGTTCGCTGCACCCTACCAGAGCACAAGGCCCCGTCGTTCCTGGCCGTCTCCAGGCTTCCGCGCCCGCCTACTGGCCCTTCCGCAGGGTGGGCCGCTGGTGGCGGCGGTACCCCCCCCCGCTCAACGGTCTCGGCCCCCCGTCCGTGCTTTGGGGTGTCGTTCGTGGTTCTTCCCCGCCACCTCGCTGCTGTAGCTGCAACCCAGCACAGCTGAGCCACCCCACTGAAATGGCCACCGTTCTCAGCCCGCCCCATGCTGTGCCTGCCCTTGCCCGTCTAGCATTTGTGCTTCAGCAGTTGTGCTTCTTGCGGCATTAGGTGAGCGGGCATTGTCTGATTGTGGTCAAGGAGGCTAATCAGGAGGTTGCACAGCGCCAGAAGCTCTCTCTCTTTCTTTCTTTCTTTCTCTCTCTCTCTCTCTGTTGTGGGAAGATATAGTACCCCTTGAACACACATCGACGCTGCAATACAACAAAGTGGGTGCACTTTCAGTGAAGTTCCAGCTATGGTCACAGCTACGGTCAAGTATCCGTGGAAGGCTATACTATCAGGTAGCGTGATTCTCCGTGGACATCGCCTCGCAATTCGCAGGCCTGCGTGTGGAGTGGGTATGGTGGCAGGCGCACCCTTGGAGAGAAATAGTCAACATAGATCGGCCTGGTAATGCGGATGTGTGGTCCCCACCCTCCCCGCCCCCAGTCGTGGGCAGCCGACAGCTGCCCCCCACCTGCCTCTCCGTCTGTCTGCTACCAGAGAACCGGCACAGTGCAGGCGGAGTGACCCCCCTACGGCCCGCGCCTGACGTTTGGAGTCGACTTGACCAGCGCGGTGGCCGTGCCCAATGCCAGCGCAGCAGAATGTTTCAGGCGAGCCCTATTCAATCTTCCTGCGGCCGCACCTACCAGAACAATTCCAATCTTTCTACGGCTGTCAGCTGCACCCTACCAGAGAACCGGCGCGCTGCAGGCGGAGTGACCCCCTTCCGTCCTGCGGCTGGCCTTTCGATTCGAACTGGGCAGCGTTGTGACTGTGCCCAATGCCAGCGCAGCAAAATGTCTCAGGCGAGCCCTTCTCAATCTTCCTGCGGCTGTTAGGTGCACCGTACCAGAACAGTTCCAATCTTGCTGCGGCTGCCAGCTGCATCCTACCAGAGAACCGGCACGCTGCAGGCGGAGTGACCCCCCTCCATCCTGCGGCTGACGTTAGGATTCGTATTGTGCAGCGGGGTGACCCAGGTTGCCCAACGCCAGCGCAGCAATATGTCTCAGGCGAACCCCTCCCAATCTTTCTGGGGAAGCTCTTGCTCACGTGGGAGGGATATAGTACCTCTTAGAACACACATCGACGCTGCAATACAACAGAGTGGGTGCACCCTCATTGAGGTTCCAGATGGTCACATCAACGTTCCAGCTTCCGTGGAAGGCTATGCTATCAGGTAACGTGGTTCTCCGTGGACATCGCCGCGCAGTTCGCGGGCCTGCGTGTGGGCTACGGCGGCAGGCGCGCCCCTTGGAGAGAAGTTTTTCAACGGAGATCGGCCTGGTAATGCGGAGGTGTGATCCCCACCCTCCCCGCCTCCGGTCGTGGACAGCCGACAGCTGCCCCCGGCCTGCCTCTTCGTGCCCCCCTCCTGTCTGTTTCGGGCGACTGCCCCTTCGCGCAGTTCTGGGCGCATCGGGGGCCCACCTCCGATCCTGAACGCAGCGGGGGCGTCGCTGAGCACAGCTGCCCCGTGCCAGCGCAGCAACGTGTCTCAGGCGAATTCCATCCCAATCATTCTGCGGCTGTTAGCTTCGCCCTGCCAGAGAAAGGGCAGACTGCAGGCGGAGTGGCCCCCCTCCGTCCCGCGGCTGACATCCGGAGTCCGACTGAGCAGCCTGGCGCCCCAGGTTGCCGAATGCCAGTGCAGCGGCGCGTCTCAAGCGCACCGAATTCCAATCTTTCTGCTTCTGTCAGCTGCGCCCTTCCGGAGAACCGGCGCGCTGCAGGCGCAGTGACTCCCTTCCGTCCTGCGGCTGACGTGTGGTTCGAGCTGAGCAGCGCGGTGACTCAGGTTGCCCAGTGCCAGCGCAGCAAAATGTCTCAGGCGAACCCTATCCCTATCCTTCTGCGGCTGTTAGCTGCACCCTACCAGATCACGCGGCATTCTCCGACGCTCCCACGTATTCCCCCACTTCGGGTTGTGTCGCGGAGTGGTGCAGCCTTCCAGCAGACACCGTGCTTCCCCTGCGCCCCGTCCCTGCCCACTTGGCATGCTCTGTGCCGCTGACGCGGCCCTGGCCCTTGGCGCCCTGTGGTGACGTGGTCAGTCTGTGCCTGGTCACTCCTGGCCACAGTGCGCGTGCTCTACGTATTCACCCAGCTCCTTTCCTGGCGGCGCACCGCCTTCTGGTTCACCGGCAGTGACAGCGCCTCACCAGTTCGCGGCTCGGCCACTTGCACAGTGCTGGACAGGCGTCTCTGGCGTGCAGTTCCAAATTCTACCTCTGGCACCTCTGCCTCAGGAATGCAAGATGCATCAGCTTCCCTGGGCGTTGCAGACCAGCCACCCAGTACTACCAGCCGCTGCTGCACTTCAGCCGCTGCTTCTGAGTGCTGGCCAGGCCGGCTGGCGAGCCGCTTAGTAGCTAATTTGGCTGGCCCGTGCCCCGGACTCCCTCCCGCCGCCCGCCCGCTGCTGCGCGTCCGCGACCCAAAAAAGCATTCGGCACAGAGCGGGGGCTGGACACCCCCCCGCTGCCGCTCCCAGGCCATTCACCAACTTCTCTCATTGGGCTGCAGGTCTCAGGCGACGTCGCTCCCCTCCGCGCAGAAACTGGCTCCGGACGTGCCCGCGCTGGCCCCCATCGTGCTGTTGGCCTCAGGCGGCGCGCCCCCCGCCCTGAGTCGCATGCGCGGCGGGCGCAGGCGACCGCCCCCCCGGCCGGCCTGGTGCGCCGCTGTCGCCATTGGGTTACCCTTGGCTCAGACGGCGCACCCCCCGCTCGAAGGCTGACTGCCAACGGGCCCGGGCTGGGCACCCCGCCCTGCTGGCCCTGTCACCTCGTCGCCGCCGGTGTGTGCCCCATCTTGCCTCCCTTGTGGCTCCTGGATGGCGTCGGCCATGCGGATGGAATGCGCGGCCCTGGAGATGGCCCGTTGGATGTGACGGCGCTTGCGCTTGCGGTTCCGCGCCAGCGGCCACTTCGCGACCACCCAAGTGCGCCTCGGCTGGGCACGACGCTCTACTACAAGTTCCGGCTCCTCGGCAAGGGGCCTCGTCCTCGGCGTGGCCTGAGCCTGATCTGCGGCGCGTCTCCCCCCTCTCCGCCGTGTTTTCTTTTTCGTTTTGCCCCTCTCGTTGTGTTCTCTTCTCGTTGCTCTTCCGTCCTTCGGTTCTCGCCCTCGGTTGCCTCTCTGCTTCGTCTGCCCCTGCTTCCGCTCTGTAGTTTTCGCCACCCTTGTGGCTCCTGTGCCGCGTCGCACTTGCGACAGCAGGGCTTGCGCTGCCCTCTCGACTTAGCTGACGGCGCGCGGCTGACCGCGTCGCTCGCGAGCCAAAAATGCATCCCCGCCCGTTCTGTACCCCCTCTGGCTCAAACCGTCTCGGCTCGAGCACGCCCCTGGTCCAGGTGCGCGCTGTGCACGGCCTGCTGTGATGGCTCCTGGCGCCGGCGGCCTCACTGGCGCCGCCCTGCGGCGGCGCCAGCGCCTGGCGGCTGCTGCCCGCGGCTGGCCGCCTGGCCTGGGCCCGCCCCTGGCTGCTGCGCGCGCGGCGGCGGGCGGCGGTGGCGCTGACGCTGCTGCCGCTGCCGCCTCCCCGCTGGAGGCCGGCGGCCGAGCGGCGGTGGCTGGCGGCCCACCG